TTTTCTTTGTTATATTTTCATAGCTCTATGTGTTTTTGGGAGGAGATTTCCACTGCTCTACTCACGCCGCCATCCTGGCTCTGCCCCCCCCAGCATTACTTTTTTAATGGAAGACACTTTATCCTCAAGTAACTTATAGTTTAATGAACTTCTGTATCTCATACTTCATCTTTTTGGAAACTGTGGGAAGTCAAGGTTTCGGTCTTGTCTATTACATGTTTTTCTCCTGGAAATCTCATCATTGGAAGAAGGATTCAGGGCTAGTTCATTTCACTATATTAGAAACTTCATTTTTTCTCTATCTCGTGAAGAATATTAGAATGTATCTCAAGTTTAACAGAACTAATACATAAGTGGAGGCCAGAGAATGGGAGAATGAACACATCAATGTCCTGTTTAAAATTATCAAGTATTCCTTCACCTGGTAGCCCCAATAATTCTTAGTGGTGAAGATTGTGGATTTCTTGTGGCAACAATTGTATTAATCATAGTTCAAATATTGTCAATACTGAAGAGAGCTCAAAAGGTCCATATTTGTTGTCGCTGTAAATACTTTGTCCTGAGAGTGTTCTTAAACCTGGTTGTGATGGGTTTGGGATGAATATCCATGCTTCACATGCAGGCTGGGCCTCTGGAGCAGTGCTGGTCTGAGCGTACCAACACAGCAGGAACAGCAGCAAAGGCCCTTTCCAGGCCCTTGGGGCTCATTTGTATGGACTCACTGGTGCTGTGGGAGCTGCGTAAGCACACACTGCATCCTCGTCACAGAGCTCACACAAAACAGGGTGTTCCGCAGCTTTGCTCTCCCACCAGAGTTCCACTCTATGATCCAATGCCCTTTAATTGAAGAGGACCTGGGACGAAGAGAGCTGCAGGTACAAACCTAAGAAGAATTGAAGTACAACGCTCAGAAATAACTGGCAGCTTAGGATAAGGTAAAGTTCCACAATGGTAAAAAATCATAGCATCTCAGCTGTGGCAGAGACCTTGCAAGGCGACGCAGTTCATCTCCTATGGCCTATCTTCGAAACTTAAATTATTCCGGATGGATAAGAACTGATTCTACATTTTAGGACTTCCAGAAAGAAAAGTACACCGCTCTCTGAAACACATTCTGATATACAGTACCTTTTTCTCTGTTTGTAAGTTCACTCTTCAATTCTCTGTTTGTAAGTTCATTCAGACCCTCACTGCAGTTAAAATTGTTTTTCATTTGTTCAGTTTTTCGTGGTGATGTGTAACAATTAGTCAGTATCCCTTATGAAAAAGACACTGAAGATCAGCCATAGTTAAATTACCACCTAAACCTTCTTTTCACTGACAAAAATCTCTCCATTTCCTTAACCATTTTTCTGTGGCTTGGTTTTTTTCCACCTCTTATTATTGCTTTGATCATCTTCGTCAAGCTCTCCATGTCAGTCTTTAGTTATAATGTATAAACCAGAACCAGTGCTGTAGAAATATCTGACAAGTACTTAGTATAATGAGAAACTCAAACCTCATGGTTCCTAAATACCAGAAGTTTTTGCTTTGCACAGTGTAGACTATAAAAGTGACCATGCAAGACTATAAAAAAAAAAAGTGCAAAAGCTTAGACTGAATAATGTGATCTTAATAATCGGGAAATGCTTCCCCTGTAATCAGCTAGGTTTGATCTGTAATATAAGCCATGCTTTCCTCATTCTTAACTGTCATAGACTAATTTTAGAACTGACAAATACATTAGAGATCACTTTATCAAACCTACTCATTTTATAAATGAGAAAACTAAGACCAAGAGATGCCAGATGACTTGACCATGGTCTCATAGTTACAGGCAGAGTGGGGAATCATGTTTCCAAACTCTGAATATAGTATTGTTTCTACCTAATTTCCATCACGTGAGACACAGTCAAAATCATTGACCATCATCTTCAAGCTCTGCTAAAATTTAAATCTATTTAAAAAATTTTTTCTGGGTATGAGTGTATCTGTGGATTAACTTCTGAGGAGAGATGCTCAAATAAGGCTCTTTGTAGCAAATAGGACAGTAGTCGTGGTAAGGATTTTTGAGGTGACAGGTGTAGTGGGCCCTGACGGAGCTCTGGGAGCCCCTGCCCGGTCCTGCTCTGTGCCTGCTGGGGCCAAAGCTGCTGCCCTTGTGTGCTTAGATATCTGCTTGAGTTGTACACAGTGCTTGTTCTAGAAGCCATTGGACTACACATACTGCCTGATGGGGAAGGCAGGGTGGTTGCGGGGACAGAAGGTAGGGATGTACTATTATTCTGTGAAGCTTTTTTATTTCCATGAGATATTCCTGCAACTAAACTAAGACTCTAGCCTTCAGGTTTGCTGACAGTAAAGTGAGTCTCTGTAATTCTGAGAGAAGAACTAAGGAGTGAAACATATATCCCTTTGATATGTTGTATGCATTCATGAAAAATTAATGGAGAACACTGAATATAGTGTGTTCAAACAGTTCATTTTTACATTCCAAGCCTGGCATGAGAAAAAACAAAAACAAAATGCATTTATCTCCTCATCTCCCTGAGTTTACCTGTCACAGGCAACAGTGTTTGAAATGCTAATGTATCTTGTAGACATTTTAAATAAGGAAGAGCTTCATAATCCTAGGAAGCTGGGATCACCAGACTTGCTTATAAATTATCCTCACCTTCTCTCAAGCACTTGGTGCTCCCCACCCTGGCCTCCCACTAGGATGAATGGTGGGATGGAAGATGTTATTTCATGAAATTATGGCATTTTTAGAGCTGGAAGAGACCCTGATACTGTTTCAATTCCAAATTCTTAGTTCTCTCCCAAGGCCCAAAGTGGGCAACAAATCTAGTTAGTAACACAGTTTGCTGGGGAGACCAGAGCTCAGGTCTCCATACTCCCAGGTTAGTGTGGCTTTGACTGCATCATATTGTACTTAAGAACATTTTCATACTTCTTTAATGAATTGTGAAATCCTAGTGATTTGACAGTTGTGAATTTTGGTGACAGGATAGACTTTTGGAGGACATAGGGCTACATTCTTACAGCTCGGGAAACCAATAGCTTTCTCCTGAAAAGAAGATGGAGTTTGAAATGTGTCCTAGGTGCCTGAAATTGAGACAGTAAGTCCCTGTGAGTGGCAAAGAGATGGACCTGGGCTCCTTGTGTAAAGCCATGGGCCAGGAAAGGACTGTCCAGTCTGTCACAAGGGCCCACTCACTGACAGGGAAAGTGGCACAACCTGGGTAGCCCATATGGACAGTGGGTGAAAAATGAGTCAATCTTGAAAAATCAGAGTCCCAACTGCTCCTGGGGTAAGGGCCCAAAGTTATACTACATATAAAGAACAGAAGCCCAAAGCCAAGGGAACTAGTGGGAAACTGGTCCAAGGATTGAAAAAAACAAACAAAAAACAACTCCATCCTCACTACCTCCCCATTGAGATAACTTTTTGACTTAAAGTACCAAGAAGAGTCTCACAAAAGGCAGCTCTCCCTGGAGATGAGCCCCCAGACAAAAACAAAACCCAGTTGCAGATAGAAGAACAGGAACCGAAGGTTATATACACAATTGATTCTTTGCATGGCTATTTACTAATATATTGTTTCGGGGACTGATATTTTAGGCCTGTCATAGATTTGAGCCCTTGGCAGTGATGATTTTCCCCCTTTTAAATTGTTTTTTTTTTTTTTTTTGCCTTTTCCTAGCTTCACAAGAACTGATGAGTGAACACTATTCAGGTTCTAAAAGCATGCCCACCTCCCTGAGAGTGTGTTCCCTGTAGAGACTGCCCTTGCCGTTTTTGGTTCTTGGAAGAATTGGTCCTGCAGTGTCATCCCCTCCATGTCCTTGGTGTGTTCCTCTGATTTATTCTGACTTTACCAACTTAGACATTGCTACAAGTTGATGCATTAAAGCTAGTAAAGTGACAGGCCCTTCCTTCCACATTCTTTTACATGATTCAAGTTATCAATAAGTTATTTTGAAGAGATTGAGACAGTCCTATCTGGAAACATAAAGAATTATCCATGTGTACCTTTCATAGTAGCATGCTCTTTTTAAAACATTCATAGGCCCTACTGAGATGCACAAAAGGTTCCATCAATGATTTAAGTTAAGGTTTACCCTGAAGACAGACAAAAATATACAGAAAGTACCTATTTTGATTATGTATAGATACATCTGATCCAAGGACAATGAGAGAAAGATCATCTTAAAAAGCTAGAAGATTTTTTTTAAAAACCTGGTGAAATTTAGTTTGCAAGTAAATGCTCAGTTTTATCTTCCCAAGTGAAGGCTAGCATTAATTAATAAATATTTTAAATATTCAGTTATATACTTTGGTAAACAAAGAAACATTACCTTCTGCTGTTCTTTGGGAACTGTACTAGAAGTCTATTTTAAGGTAACACTTTTGTTTTTATTTTCTATTTCTTTATAAAAAATATTTTTTCAGTATTGTTTGTGAAAACCAAAGTGTTCTTTAAGAACTTAGGGCTAGTGAAGTTCATTTCTCCCCTAGTGAAGTATAAAAATTGAGTCTGCCACACAGAAAACACATATTGTGGGCAGGCTCCCTGTATATAGAGCCAGGTGTCTTCCCTCATTCTGTGAATCCTATCCCACCTTCAGTAGTTCTGTCTTAACTATGCTGCAACCTGCATGCTATATTTGGACAACCCCAGTTTTCCGTCATTCTCTAGTCTGTGACTTTGCCTAAGCAGAGATGGATTCAGCCTCAATTTGGTATTTTTAGCTGATCATTCGTTCAAGAGTTGCCAAACGGTATCTATCAAAGACTTTCTTCATAACATTTACTGAGGACCAGGGTGAATATTACTAGTTGTTCCTGTGTATAGAATGTGCTCTAATGTGAAAGAAGCACAGAAGATACCCAAGTGAAAGGGGGAGGGTAGAGTCCTGCAGGCATAAAGAAGAGATGAAGACCTTGAATCAGAAAGGAATGAAGTGCATTCAAGGAGCAGAAAGACCAGGGTGGTTGAGCCTAGAGGGGTGCAGATGTGGGGAAAAAGATCAAGGTCAGATGGCCCCAAGCTTTGGACAATACTAAGGACCTTCCTTCACATTACAGCACTTCACCTTACTAGTGAAACTTTATAAAGATACCTTTAAAAGTATCTTAAACGTCCTCCACTGTTTCTTTTTTATTTTTTCCAGAGAAAAACAGTAATGGATGAAAAAAGATTAAAAGCTGTACTGCCCTGACTTCATTCTGTATGAAAGCATTTAATTTTTCTGTAAGTGAAACCTTTTCCTAACTGCTTTAAAATTCTTGAGATCCATGCTTTCTATAATAAGGTGGATTATATGGCATTTTATAAAGTTCTCTAACATCCTTATTGGATAATTTTTCTACTACTCTAAGATATTTTTCTTTTTTCTCCAGAATACAAGATGATTCCAAGAGCTCACCAATCCTATTGTTAATAAAGAAAACTGATACTCATTAAAGCTTGTTGTATTAGCTTTAGTTGGTGATTCTATTCCTGTGAAGAAAAATAATTTTCTCCTTCTTCTCTGGAAGTATTCTTAGGCAAGCCCCATCTTAGTGAATGCAGCTTCCATCTGCCCTGTGGACAAGCCTCCCTCTTTGTCATCCCTCACAGTCCTTCCATCAGCAAGTCCTATCCATTTTACTTCCTAAAGAACTATCGGATCCATCTGCTTCTCCTCTCTTGCCTGGGCCATTGGAAGAGCCTTCTAACTAGACTCTTTCCCATAATCTTTTCCCCTTCTGATCACTCACAATCTGATCCTGTCACTCACCCCTTTACTTAAAAACTCTTTAGTGGCTTCTTTTTGCCCTTAGAATAACATGTCAGGTCCTTAGTATTGTCTCCAAAGCTTAGGCCATCTGACCTCTATCTCTTTCCCCACATCTCACATCTGTGCCCCTCTGGCTCAGCCATCCTGGTCTTCCAGCTCCTTGAATGCACCTCATTCCTTTCTGATTCAAGGTCTTTGCAAATCTCTTCTTTATGCCTGCAGGGCTCTAGCCTCCCCCTTTCACTGGGTATCTTCTGTGCTTCCTTCACATTAGAGCACTTTCTCAGAAGCCGTCTCTAAACCCCAGACTAGGTCAGGTCTCCCTCATGATTGCTCTCCTAGTGTCCCTACGGTTTTCCTTTATGGCACTAACATAGTAGATTTGAGGATTTGTAGAATTATGGATTATTATTGTAAATTCAAAGACAGTCATGATTATACCATTTTGCTTATTAATCTTTCTGCAGCCACAGACACAATAACTGCAGAGTAGGTGCTCAATAAATATTTTTTAATCAATCAATAAATGAATGCATCTTACATATAGTGTATAATGAATACAAAAAAATGAGCACCATCCACAAATCACTGTCTGGCCAAGATCAGCTCCAGCTTTAACTTTACTGAAACCCTGTCCTCCATTAAAAATAGCATGTATTGAGGTTCAAAGCCTAATTTGGCTACCCAGAAAATGAACTTAGATACAATATGAAGAAGAACTTCCAACATCAGCACTCTCTGGAAGACTCATACCAGAAGATGATCATCAAAAAACCTCAAGAAAGATCCAGACAATGCTGCAGTTGTAGCTGTATCCATCCCACCGGTTCCCTGGACTTGCCATTTGGAATGAAGAAGGAGATATCTAAGCTGGCCTGTGCTTTCAGTAAAACAACAAATTTGACTGGATCTATACTGTTGGAACTCAACCAAGAATTAGGAGAAGTGCAAGTTGTAGCGCTCCAAAATCCTACAACTACAGACTATCTACTGTTAAAAGAACATATGGGATGTGAACAGTTCCCAGGAATGGGTTGTTTTAATTTGTCTGATTTCTCTCAGACTGTTCAAGTACAGTTGGACAATATTCACCATATCATAGACACATTTTCACAAATGCCTAGGGTGCCTAACTGGTTTTTTTGGCTTCACTGGAGATGGCTGGTAATTATAGATCTGCTTTGGTTATGTAACTGTATTCCTATTATGTTAATGTGTGTGCGCAATTTAATTAGTAGTTTAAAACCTATACATGCTTAAGTTACTCTACAAGAAGATATGTCAAAGAAATAATCAATCCTCCCATGTTTTCTTCCATCTGCTACCTCTATAGCTTTTCTTCTTCCTTCCTAATTACAACCCTTAAATAAAATTCATGCCTCATATTGAATTTACTGAGTATCATAATTCCTCCAAGTGGTAAAGATACCTCAAGACAAATGCTGGGCATAGAAGCCACAGGGCATAAATCTGCAAAGAAGTTAAAAGCAAACCTTTTCAAACAATGTGGCTTCTCTCTCACTTACCAACTTTACATCTCACTGTATGGCCCCGGAAGATGACTGGTTAGCCAGAGACGGGTAAGATTCCTCAAGGGAGGAACAACCTAAGATAGGCACAGTCGCAGGGGGGCCATCAGGTGAGAAATTGGGGATCAACAATGGTGAGGCTTAGAACCTCACCCCCCCTGCTTTGAGAGAAATCTTCTGCATCCGTGGATGTTTTAATGCCCCTGTCTAGCTTGGATTAACACATAGTCTACAGGCACAAACCTGATCATCTACATTTGCTCTCTTACAACACTAAACTATATTTTCTACCTTTATCTTGCATCCACCTACCACTTCAGCATTTTATTAAAAATAAAAAAAATAATAATAATAAAGGGAGAAATGTGGGATCCACATATAAATGAAGTATAAAAATCAAACAAATATTCATATTTGACCTGATTATTTATAGTTCATAATGTGTGATCAAAACCGAAAGTTTCTGTGATGACTGCCCTTGTACTGTTCACCATGTAAGAACTTATTCACTATGTAAGAATTTGTTCACCATGTACGAACTTGTTCATTATGCTTCAGAAGATTGGAGACTGATGAGAATTAGGCTGGGGGTGGATTAATGATTGTACATTGAGCATTGACTCCCCTATACAGAATTTTATTGTTGTTAACAACCATTTGATAAATATGAGAGATGCCCTCTCAAAAAAAAATAGCATGTATTTTCAGTCTCCTAGGGTGCTTCCAACTGGGAAGAAGTCTTAAGATCAAGAAAACTTTGATGTCAAATGTATGGTTTCAGTGTTTATGTTTTCAATGATTATTTTATATGTATGGGGGGAAACTGTTAAGAGACTGAAAGAGTGTAGATAGAGTGGAAAGAGAGAGCAGCACAAGCTAGGGAGTATTGAAACAGAGCCAGGGCCAGGTTCTAATTAAAATCAGAGGCAGGAAAGCATTTAAGGGACCAAATGACGTCAGCAGTAGCAGAAAAGATGTTAGGAGATGAGTAGGGAAATGCTGAAGACTTACTAGGGGATATGAGTTATTTTCACATATACGACTCTTCCTAAAATGATGGGCATTTGTTTTGCTAATAACAATGGCCTAAAGAGTATCTCTTAAAACCTGACCAGCACTATCCATCTTCTGGAAAACTTCTGCAAGAGTAGAGGGAGAATTCTGTCACAGGAGCTGAGATAGTTGACATCCTAGTTATACTTAAACAGAGGCGGGTTTTATTGACTTAGAGAAGCACTTAAGTATTAAGTGTAGTGAATTAGCTTTGATTTTTTTGGAAACATACTTTGTAAGGCCTGAATACCTTATTAAAAGCAATATGATACTGCATTAAGAGTAAACAAGCATCTTGGGAAATCATGCTTATAACCAATTAAATTTATAGCCTAGTATTTCAAATTGGCAACGAGAGGAATTCAAATGGAACATCTGGGATTCTAAGCAGTGCATTGGACTTGGAATTCAACCATAATCTGACATCTCCTGGTTCCCTTACCATAAATAACCTATTCTCCAGTTGTAGGTTGGTTTTGTTCTTCAAGTCTTGATATACACATCATTGCCTAATGCTTGTATTGTTGTTGTTGAATAAGAAATATTCTGCCTTCTGTCACTATTTCAACAGTCTAGAACACTTTTTTAGACTTATCTAACAGTTGTTAAGAACAGTGGGTAAAAGTGAGCAGAGATCATTCCAGGAATACTTAATGAAACAGAAAATATACAAAAATATTCAGAGCATCTCCACTAATTCCTCATGACAGTCCTTTAGGACTGGAAAGAAAGAAATCACCCAATAGTTTTCCATATCACTTGCTCAGGTTTCTTTCTGGCAAGTAATTGTGGTGATGTTTCCAGATGCCCCAACCCTCCCCTCACTCTTTCCCCAGTCCGTGAGGAATAAACTGTTTTGAATCTAGAAAAAGGTTGCCTCTTGTAAGCCATGGAAGGCTGAGTTCAAGTCCCAGTCCCTTGCCTCAGCAATTGGCTCTAGTGGTCTGTCCCAACTCCTGGGAATGGAATCTAAACATTACAGGCCAGTATCTACCTATAAAAGCTCAGGGCTACAGGTGTAGCATTAGCATGCCATGGCAAGCAAATTTAACCCTTTGTGTAAGCAGTTTCTATAGTGCCAAAAATAAAGTCTATTGCCCTCAGAATCACAGGCTGATTTACTGGCAATTTGGGGGACAGTACTTTGCCAAAATAGATTCATCTTCGAGTAATCTTCACATGCAAAAATCCAGGCTTATTCAAGTGAGGGTTAAAGAACTTTTTGTTTTAAAAACAAGTTCACACATTTCATCTAAAAATCAAACTCCCCTGCACAGGTTTTTTAAACTTCTTATTATAAAATAAAACAGATACAGAAAACCATGTAAGCCAAATGTATGGCTTAATAAATCATTATAAGGTAAACACCACTGCTATAGACTGACTGTATGTGTCTCCCCCAAAATTCATATGTTGGAGCCCTAATCCTCAATATGGTGGTATTTTTCAAGTATAGTTCTCCCTTTATTATTTTTTGAATGTTTAGTTGAAATAATAATTTCAGGTGCACAACATACTGATTTGACATTTGTAATATATAACAAAATTCTCACCATGATGAGTGTAGTTACCATCTGCTACCGTGCCAAGTTATTGCATAATTATTGACTATATTCCCTATGCTATACTTCTCATCCTCATAATTTAACTTGTTTTATAACTGAAAGTTTGTACTTCTTTATCCCCTTCACCTATTTCACCTGTTACCCCCGCTCCCCTCCCCTCTAGTCACCACCAGCTTGTTCTCTGTACTTATGAGTCTGTTTCTGAGTTTTGTTTATTTGTTTGCTCATTTGTTTGCTTTTTAGATTCTACATTTATGTGAAGTCATGTTGTTTGTCTTTCTCTCACTCATTTTACTTAGCATAATGTCCTCTAGGTCCATCCATGGTGTCACAAATGGCAAGATTTCATTCTTTTTTATGGCCAAGTAATATTCCCGTGTGTGTGTGTGTGTGTGTGTGTGTGTGTGTGTGTGTGTGTGTGTGTATCACATCTTCTTTATTGGCTCATCTATTGATACTTAGGTTGTTTCCATACCTTGGCTAATGTAAATAATGCTTCAGTGAACATAGGAGTGCATATATCTTTTCAAATTAGTGATTTTGTTTTCTTTAGGTAAATACCCAGAAGTAGAATTACTGGATTGTATGGTGTTTCTATTTTTAATTTTTTGAGGAGCCTCCATGCTGTTCTCCATAGTGGCTACACCAGTCTACATTCCCTTCAACAGTGTACAAGGGTTTCCTTTTCTCTACATTCTCACCAATAGTTATTTATTGTCTTTTTTTTATATCGTTAATGTAAAATTACTTGAACATTATGGTTACTACACTCCCCCTATTATCAAATCCCCCCCACATACCCCATTACACTCACTGTCCATTAGCAAGGAAGATGCTATAGAATCATTACTTGTCTTCTCTGTATATACTGCCTTCCCCATGTCCCCACCCACCTACATTATGTGTGGTA